GGGGGGGACTCTGGGGAGTGCTGTCCTCTGGGAGGGGTGTCTCTCTGCAAGGGGTTCCCTGGGGGCTGCTGTCCCCTGGGAGGGGGTGACTCTGGGGGAGGGGGTGACTCTGGGTGTTGGGGTTCCTAGAGGTTAGTATCCCCTGGAAGGGGGTGACTCTGGTTCTCAGGGTCCCTGGGGTGTGGGGGAGTAGTGGCCCCTGGAAAGAGAGTGTCTCTGGGTGTTGAGGTCCCAGGGAGATAGTGTCCCTTGGAAGGGGCTGACTACGTGTTGAGCCCATTGGGAGTTGGAAATTGTGGGTCCCTGGTGGGGCAGTATCCCCTGGAGGGAGCTCCCTCGGGATTGGGGTCCCATAGGGGGAGATTGTGGGTGTTGGGTGTGTCTGGGGTGTATCTCCTGGAAGGAGTGACTCAGTAGTGAGTATCCTGCTTCCCACTGATCTCTGGGGGGGGTGTTGTACATTTACCGCGGGGCCTGAGCCCCGAGCCACTGGGTGAGGATGGCGTGGGCTCTGAAGCTGCCGCTGGCGGATGAGGTGATCGAATCGGGACTGGTGCAAGATTTCGATGCCAGCCTCTCGGGCATTGGCCAGGAACTGGGCGCTGGCGCCTACAGCATGAGGTAGGTGAGATCCTCCTGAACATCTTGTCCTACACCGTGAATTGAGAAGGGTGATGAGAGTGGAATATGGAGGTTGTGATTGGACCACCGCGGGCTGGGAGACTGCAGAGTCCAGGAGTACTTGGATATTGCATTGAGCTCAGCAGAACAGACAGCACTGTGTATCACAGGTGTTGCATTTAATGGCAGATAACTTTCTGGTGGGCTGATTGAAGCCATCAGTAGGTTGGAGCAGATCAAGGGGCCATATAGTGCAGTATCCGGTCTTCAGTAGTGATCTGTACCAAGTAACAGGGGGGACACCTTCCCCCCTGTTTGCTCTGCATGCTGCATTTGTGAATGTGAAAGACGAAGTGAAACCAGTGGCAGGGAGATTTGGACAGCAGTATAAAACCCGAAGATAAGGTAGAATTGGAATAAGACGAAAGTGTGTCACTCCCTGCATGAAGTTGGCCTGAGGAGTTAGTGGTTGCTGGGAGCCAGAGTTAAAATTCAGCCGCAGAACTCAACAGTCGAGATGGATAATTTTATGAGTTTTGTAAATCCTAAAATGGGAGTAATGGGGACTCTGCTTGAGGGCATCATCTAATCTCAGGGTTGGGAAGGATTTGCAACACCTGCCCTTCCTCCCCTCACATTCAGCGTTGCACAGCTGGTTAGCTTTGGGGCAGTTGATTTAGTTGGGGATTGGTCCTGCTTTGAACAGGGGGGTGGACTAGATGACCTCCTGAGGTCCCTTCTAACCCTGATATTCTATGATTCAGTTCACCTGCCTCTAAAAATATCAGGTATTGGCCATGGTGGGAGGCAGGTTCCCAGGTGGCATGGACTGTTCAGCTAAAGGGGATATAGCGAATCCATTCCTCTGGAATCTGGCCTCCTGCTGTCAGGTTATGGATAAATCATCCAGACTTAGGCTATGTCTATGCATACAGTGCTGCTGTACTGTACCAATACGTCTGGGGAACACACTGGAGAGAGCTCTTCCGTCGGCATAAATAAACCACCTCAGCGAGCGGCATAAACTGTGTTGGTGGAAGAAGCTCTCCCACCAACATAGCACTGTGCACACGAATGATTATGTCAATGTAATGTAATTTATGTCGCTCTGGGGGATGGAATATTCACACCCCTGAGCAACATATGTTTTGCTGTAATGTAGATATAGTCTAAATCCTGTGCCTCCCACCTGTTGCTGATTAGGAGAGCCTGTTCCATGCTTCTTTGTTCTATACTCCCTCAACTAATCAGGCCAAGAGTGTCTCTTCCTTAATCTTGCCCTGAATAATCACCCCAAGGGCTGGAAGAAGCGCCTTCAGCTCTCTGTGATGTGAGCGCAGGCGTTAGTATCTTAATACTTTAATTCAAGAAGGATGTTGATGAAGTGGAGACAGTTCAGAGAAGAGCCATGAAAACGATTAAAGGATTAGAAAACCTGCCTCAGGGTTGGTCTACGCAGGAAAATTACATCCGCATGGCTATGTCTCTTGAGGTGTGAAAAATCCACACCCCTGAGGGATGTAGCTAAACCCTCAGTGTAGACAGGGCTAGGTTGAAAGAAGAATTCTTCTGTTGACCTAGCTGCCACCTCTTGGAACCTTTCCCATTGGTGTAGGTAGTGGCTACACTGAAGCGTACAGCTGTGCCGCGGCAGCTTTTCAAGTGTAGATGAGCCCTTATAGTGACAGACTTAAAGAGCTCATTCTGTTTCGCTTAACAAGGAGAAGGTTAAAGGGTGACTTGATTACAGCCTATAAATGGGGAACAAATATTTAATAATGGGCTCTTCAGTCTAGGAAAGAAGAGTCTAATACAGTCCAGTGGCTGGAAGCTGAAGTTGGCCAAGTTCAGACTGGAAATAAGGTGTAAAATTTTGACAGTGAGGCTAATTAATCACTGGAACCATTTACCAAGGGTTGTGGTGGAATTCTCCATCACTGAGCATTTTTAAAGCAAGATTGGATGTTTTTCTAAAACATCTGGTCCAGGAATTATTTAGGGGACATTCTGTGCCCTGGGTTATGCAGGAGGTCTGACTAATCGCAGTGTTCCTTTCTGGCCTTGGAATCTACGCATCTGCGAAATTCTGGCTCTCTTCCTTTCTGTGACCTTGGGGGAAGTCGCTTTCCCTACGTTGCAGTGGGGGCTGGGACGGAGTTTAAGGATCATTTGTTTAATATTAAAGTGCCTAATTAATACTTGTATTAAGATAGTGACCAACAGCCCTGCTCAGGATCAGGACCTCATTGTGTTAGACACTGTACTGACATGTCCTTGCTTAGAAGAGTTTGTGTTAACCCACTGCTGATTGTCTCATTGGTCCCTCTCTGTACCTGATCTGCAGGGGATAAGAGACTGTCACAGCCCCAGCTAAGCTATAGCAGCTCATGCTTTCAGCTCTGGACATCCTCCGTTCAATCCCTGGTGTGGTGGTCATCATCCTTGCAATCAAAGATGACGTATGACATGCAGTGTCAGGGGAGAGGGATAAATCAGATAGAATTTTATAGACACATGTAGGTTGGCAGCCCAATGTTTCCCCTCCCCCGCCCAATAATTCAAGTATATAAAGTATCACCTATTTCCCTCTGTCTCTCTAGCCATTATTAACTGGCTGACTTGATGTGGCCTTGAGAGGTGATCTGAAGATGAGGAGGGTGGTGGCTTCACTTGTTGGGAAGGCATAATACTTAATAAAGTGCTTTGAGATCTACAGATGAAAAGTGCGGTATCAGAGCTAGTATCATGTCATGGATAAGGGGTGGTATGGAAGAAGGTGCAAATGAGGCTGGCATTTTGTTTTGGCCAAGTGGAGGAGGTGGGCAGGGGGACAGTACAGTAAGGCAGTGGTAGGGAGGCGCAGAACCGTGAAGGGCCTTGATGATGAGCTTGGGGATGGAACAGGGGGAGCCATTGGAGAGGTTTAGTTAAGGGAGTGATGTAGTCAGTGTGATGGGCAAAGAGGCGTTCTAGAAATCTTAGGGTTGGTCTGCATGAGAAAGTTGCACTGGTTTAATTTAAGGTGTGATTTTTATTTGTATTTTAAATTGGTGCAGAAGTGTGTGTGGACACTCCTGTTTCGATTGAAACCAGGCTTATTTCGGTCAATCCTAACCAATTGAAGCTGAATCAGAACAAAGCTGGTTTGAAATAGAATGGAGGGGAGGGGTCCAAGATGTCTCTTGATTACAGACATGAGTGACTGGGAGGATGATGGAGTTGCCAGCAGTGATGGGGAGACAGCTTGGCAGGGAAGTTCAGGAGTTTGTCCACCTTAAACTTAACATCTAGGATGGGATGTTGGAGAGACAGGCCAAGGGGTGGAGTAGGGTGGCGGGAGATGGGTCAAGACTGGAGAGCTAGACTCGAGTCACCTGTGGAAAGATGGTGATCAAAACTGTCGGTGGAAGCAATCGCCCAGGGGGCAGGCATAATGGGAGATGAGTGGGCCAAGGATGAAGTCCTGTGGAAACACTGCCCATAAAGTGACAAAGATGAGGGGGACCATTTGACTGTGACTCTGAAGGCCTAATCAGAGAGATGGGAGGAGAAGACAAGACAAGATTTAAAGGACGTGTGTGATCAGTGGTGTCATAAGCAGCCTGGAACCGAAGGAGGCTGAGAGTGGAGCAGGAAACTTCATGAGAGCAATTCTGGAGAGATGAAGACGAAGGAAGCCAGACTGGCAGGACACCCAGGATAGGGTTTGAGAGGAGGAATGTGAGGTGGAGAGAGATGGGGCAATAATTGGCAGTGTTTCAAGGACATATTTGTATTTTGGGGAGAACTGGACAGAAGAGAGCAAAAGGTTGCGAGGAAGGGAGGCAGGGGAAGCAAACTTTTTTTTTTTTCCCTCCAGGAAGAGCTTCTCCCAGGATAGGTTGACGTGAAACTTCACCACCAGTAAGTTGTTGCAATCATAATGCCAGCATTTGGGTAGAGGTGCACTGTGAAAAGTTCAAGCAGGGGACGCATAAGGTGGAGTTTGAAATGTGCTAAAAGTTAAATGACATTTCCTGGAGGAGGACGTGTGCAAATGTCAAGGTGTTAACACTTTCAGTGCAACAGGCTCATGGTAATCTCAAGCTATGTCTACACTGCAGTTTATGTCGGCATAATTTATATTGCTCAGGGGTGTGAATAAGCCACCCCCCCGCAAGCGACATAAATTACACTAACATAAGCACTGGTGTTGCCAGCACCATGTTGGCGGGAGAAACTCTCCCGTAACTGCCGCCGCTCACGGAGGTGGTTTTATTATGCTGACAGGAGAGCTCTTGCCCGTCAGCATAGAGCATCTTCACCAGACCTTCTGCAGCAGCACATCTGCATCAGTGCAGCTGCAGCACTGTGTGTGTTGACATGCCCGTAATCCGGTGGTTCTCAACCCATGGCCAGTGGGCTGCTTGCGGCCCAGTCAGCACACAGCTGCAGCCCATGTGACATCCTCAGGTCCATACTGGTAGTATGTATATTGTGTGGATATAGCCCACATACACACACACCTGTATATACAGCCCGCAATGGTAAATAGGTGGAGAACCACTGCCTTAGTCCATTGTCAATAGGAAGTGAAGAGCTCCTTGCTTCCTGTTACTTCATCTCCTTTAGGGGACAGACGGTGTTAAATAGCAGCTGGAGTTGTTCAGGCCTGGTCTTTTATTTAACCAGTTGATGGGGATAACTAGAGCCTTCTCCCGGTTGCCTCTAAGTGTATGACTGAGACTACTATCAAGGCTGTGCAACACCAACTTATTCTTGTAGCGTGTCTTACGTGCAAACGGTACCCGCTCTGACTCGCGCATCTGGGACAGTGTCCTGTTTATCATGTATAACTCTTAAAGCCAACTCCTTTAACTATCTTACTGATAACACCTTCAAATAGTAAAATTAGATCGTAAGTTCTTTGGCACAGGAACTGTCTTTGTTCTGTTTGTACAGCGCCTTGTGTAATGGGGTTCTTATCCATGGCTGCAGCTCCTAGGTGCTACCACAATGCC